TTGGGATTCCTATGGAACATGATGCAACTGAGTGATCAGAAACTAGTGAACAGTCCGTAACTTTAACGTTATTGCATTATAAACTTTCACAACATGTTATAATATCTAATAAATTGAAGCCCCTGGTAGGTTTATCTACTATTTGTTTAAGATTGTATGAATTAAAAATTGACTGAAATAACCTACAAGCAGAACTATCCGGTTCCAGAAAGTTTATATTAAAATCCCCTGCGAAAATTATATGGGTATACTTTGGAGCAACATTATTTAATATCTCGTCAAGTTCATTTGCAAGTTGTTGGATAGGAAAGTCACCCGGTCTATAAATTGAACCTATTGCGTAAAGTTTATTCTTATGGTTAAACGAAATCCAGATCTGCTCTGATTCAATATTGTCTAAACTTAAAATTTTAGAATTAAAAATATATTTTCTACGACCGTGTATTTTTACCCACTTTCCCGCACGCATTTTAGTTTTGAAAGTCACTTTCCCGCACTAGTGCGGGAAAAAATCACTTTCCCGCACTAGTGCGGGAAAGTAAAATTATGAATATTTGGCCTTACCTATTGTATAGTTTTTTTACCTCGTTGAAATTATAAATTTGAAAACCACAAACATGTAATACTTCTAATTTTGAATTAAAATATCATATCACTATATTTGTAAATTCATATTAAGGACGGGGTATCCCTGTGTATTAAAAGTGTATGTGTAGACCAAAAGTTAAATCGACAGTTTTCCGAATATGTAGTGTTTAAAAATCTAATTTTTGGCCAAATTAAAAATAAAGGTCTAACTTAGGTCACCTTACTATTGAAAATTAATAAATTTATTATTTTCAATAAAAACCAATCATGTAAAATAACCCCCTTTTATTTCATCTCAAAGGTGCCGTCTAGAATTATTTTAACCTCGATGTCAAACAAATAATAAAAAAAAAATGTAATACGACCTAAGTTCAACCTTTACTTGGAATTTGGTACACTCAGAATATTTAAATATTGTATATTTTTCAAAACGTGTAGATTTGAAATATATAAGTCACTTTCTTTGAAAAAACATGTCAAAACGAATTTGGACCAAAAATGGCGTCTAATTTAACTCTAAATAAACCCCGAAAAATCAATAATTACTTCATGTAATGTAATAAAGATGGTGCTCCGATCGATAATATTTTGACTAGTATTTGATTATTTCCGTTTATATTAAGTGTGTTTACGGGGGATATACGAGATGATAATACTGCCTCTGATACTGTTATTTATATGATACAATTGGAAACGACCTTTTTTCATCGGCACTCTTTTTTCTGACCTTTTGACACGCGCCTATTTGTTATATGATGTATGATTATCGGTTATTTATCAACTAAAAGTATAGGAAATTAGTACATTGTGAATGATAATATCATTTTAATGCTATTTTTGAAACTAGTTCAAAAGTTGCATTTAACGATACTCAATGTTTCATTTTACCGTCAGTTTTAGTTTGACATATCCGTCATTTTATGTTTACAAAGCTCAGTTTCTATTAGGCATTCCAACGACCTGTCCAAATGGCTACCAGTGGGTAATGACAGTTTAGATATGGCAACCCTGTTGTCATGTTGTCATTAACAGGGTCAATGATACATATATAGTTATATAGATTGCTCAAAGCTGGTCGTTTACGAGCGGCCATATTGCCTGGCAAATATTTATTAATTTGAATCGGTTTAGCAAAAATGTGTTTTAAAACCAATTTTTAGCCTTTAGATATTTAAAAAAATAATTGCTTACATTTTTACTTCAAGGCATACGCTTATGTTTATTTTGAAAAATATGGATAATCAATCTATGTAACTATCTATTTCATTGACCTTGTCAAATCACCAGGTCTACAGGGTTGCCTTAATTTTGCAATATAATAACCCGTCAAAGCCCACTGGTAGGCATTCAGTTTGGAATGCCTAATTCGAAAGTAAGAGAAACAGTCAAAATAAAATGCGAAAAACACTTTTTATCAATTTTGTTCATGTCAACTGAAAGCGACAATTGCTGAAGACGTAACAAATAAATTAGGTCGAGAAATAAAAAAATCTATACTATAAGTAACATACCATATATTATACCTGTTAAAATAAATCAAAAATAAGAGAACATATCGTTGACGTATATACTTTTTCATCTGTGATTAGTGATTGCCAATTGCAAATTACGTATGAACATGCTTCTGCGCAAAAAAAACATTATTTCAAGTACTTGTATCATTAAAGTCCATTAAATTATTATTTTTATAAATTTGCTAATCTTTGCACTTTAAGTTTCATTATATGGGGTATCCAGACATTTTACTCCTCGTCCTCTTCTATTTAAAATTATCTCAGGTGCCATATATTCCGAGTAAAATTTTTCTAATTTTTCAACCATATTTTGAAAAAAAATGGGTTGAAAATGAATTTTTTCAACAAATAGTGGATTTTCATCTCCAGTATATACTACAAAGTAGCACAATTTTCTTTGAGCTATACCTAGCTGTCCTTGAATCCAAAAGTATATAAAATCATTATTAGAAAATCAAACATAAAAAGAATATTAATATTGTAGTATCATTTCTAGCACATTTCTTAAAAATCATGAATTATTTTAACATATTGAAATTTTTCACCTGGTAAAAGTAGTTATGGTTTTCTTTTAAATGAATGTCACCATCTTCTATTTTTAAGCATGGAAATGGGTTTGAATATTAGGTAATGTGCGCCAATAATGTCAAATTATGACAATTCGCGAAAAACGTCAACTCTTTATTTAGATTTTAATGTGCAAAAGCCTAACTACTTTGGATATTGATCGTAGAAAAAATATATTCAGAATAATGAAACATTGTTATTAAATAACAAGTTTTTTGATTGTCAAATTTAATACGTAATATTATTTTTTAATTGCAAATATTTGAATGTTAAAATTATAGCGTTTAATTTTTTTATTCAATGACGAACTCGAGAGTGATAGAAAAAAAATACTACCTACCTTTAATGCAGGAAGTCGATGTCAATTTATCCAAAAATAAAACTGATTAAAATGTACAATGAAACTCACTAGGACACTTGGCACAAATAAATCAATTTTCTATTAAAGAAAATAACACTTATTAAAAACAAACAGCACAATAAAACACTTCAGAAACGTGTGATGTAATTTTGAAAACTAAATACCCGTAAGCTTGTTTGTAAATTTATAGACTCTTAACTCCTTCCCCCAGCCTTCATTAAGTATATTAAAAGTTGTGACGTCATATTGGCACAGATATACGGTAATGTGTTATTGACAATCAGGGAAATGTTTCTAGGAAATAACTACCTAAGATAAGATAAATGAATGTTAAATACCTACTCATAATATATATTGTAGGGTTTTTGTACTTTAATAGGATAAATATTTATGCGGGCCTGGAAATGACAGTCAAAATTACCCAAAAACATTAGGTTAGTACCAACATCAGATAACTTCGGTATTTAACCAATTAATCACAATTAATATTCTTGAACATTCAAATGACAAAAACTTCCATCTTTAACCAATGAGAATATAGTTTTCATTCGATACTTCAAAATCACAATTTATTAATTAGGTAGAATAGTTTTAAAATATATTGCGAATTGCGACACGTCAAGCGTCCCACTCCGACTCAATGTGACGCAATTATTGTGGCAATATATTTTGAAACGACTCTATATTCGTGACTTGAAATTATAAACATCCCTCGTATTACTACCCGTATATAAACCAAATTATTTGTTTTAGGAAATATTTATATTTAATGTGAGGCAAGATATCGTTTTTGTTGTTACCATCTGCATACCTACCTACATTCTTTACTTTGGTCCAGGAAACAAAGTCAATTTTCGATAAAAATAAAATGTAGTAGGTAGGTAATACTTTATGAAACAGTACAATAAAAGTATTGAAATAAAGTATGCTCATACTCCAAAATGAGTCCTAGAGTTAACATTTTTATAATATTATAAATGGCATATAAAACGATTGGACCGTTTTCACAATCGCGAAATAATTTTTTTTATTTGGTAAAATCCCGGCAATTATTGAAAAATAGATTTTATTTTCAGGACTATTATTATGATCCTTCGAACTCAGTCTACTAAAAACCGGTTTATAATACAATATCCCCTAATAGCTATGCTGCGTTTGAAAAGTAGCTCGTTTAGCTTTTTTTACTCGATGCCGCCCCTTTTGCTTCGTTTGCTCCATTGATGTGGTTTGCTCGATGTCACGTGACCAAAAAATCTACTCGATCTGCTCGATGAGGTACATTTCAAACGCATCACTAGTCGGTCGATATTTATAGTTACTTAAAGATTTCTGTAATAATTTGCACTAATTCAATCTCTAGTCGGTAGGTAACAGCACCTCCTTGATTGAATCTAAATTGACATAATTTTGTTCAGAAATTCCTAGGAGACGCTGTCCTTAAGCTATACTAACACTTTCTGATCTTTGTAATTTTATTATCTATATTTTTTTTGTATTTATGTTCATTTATTGTTTTTGATTGTAATTAATTGTATCAAAACAAGTGAAAAATTCACTTATCGATTTCTTTTCATTTATTTATACCTATCTCAGGATTTTATTATATTTTGTAAATTGGTGTAAATAAATTCATTATTATTCACTCCTCCCCTTCTCAAAACCAGTTTTAAAATATTCCGAGCAATTGTGAAGCCTCGGCGTTTCTACCCCTAAGAACTAGTTTCCAAAGTCGCTCGATATGATATTAAGAGATTTTACTGGTGAATGAATGTTCCTTCGGGACCCCAGGACGCTTTGGCTGGTGACTATGTTGCCATTAATCCCTTAATAGTATATTGACAACAGTAGCTAAAGACATCATTCTGTAGACTAACTAATTGTTACATTAGGCCCTTCAGACTTTGATTTATAAGCATACTGAGCAAGAGGGTTCAAAAAATCAGTTAGGGTTAAATAAAACTAAATCCAACTTAAAAAAACTCGCAAAGTTTAATACAAACTACATAAAAATACAATTATTTTACAAAATGAAAATTCGCCATAGGATTTTACAACTGAACTGAAGGCACCTCTACCATGGCATTTTAAATTGAAGTTAAAACAATTCTGTGAAATATTTTAAATAAAAAAATGTCAATTGATAACGCTAAAATCGTATATTTATATATACCGTACTTAAAGTGTGGAATAAATTCAATAACAATCATCAAGAAAAATCAATTTTTTATTCACTTCATAGTTATGAAATAAATGCATTATGATTTATTATGGGATTTACTGCGTTTTGTATATAATGTATAAAAAATTAAAATACTTTGTACTGTTTGAGGGGAATTAATGGATTTATTTCGGTTTGTTGGACTCGGTCACTTTCAAAAGCATTTTACTAACAAAATCGACCTCTTCGAAGTTGTTCTTATGTGGGTTATTGAGTTTATTCCTTACTTTAAGCATTGAATGTAATATATTAGACCACACAAGCATTTAGATGATAACTCTGGTATAATAATGAAAAATTAAGCAAAAAAAAATAGTAATAGGAATGAAATAATTTTCTATTTGTTAACACCTCATTTATATCATAAAAATTAATAATTTTTAACTAACAAATGATTTAAAAAAGTCAAATGTTTACATAGTTAAAGATTGTGCGTTTTTTAAACAAAAATAAATAAAAACATGGTAAATACCATAATTACAAATATAAAAATACGGAAAAACGGGCACTGTATACCAATGGTAAAATGTAATTGAAATTTGAATCAAAAATATTTTCACAATAAACATTAATTATTCTTCATTTGTTGCATTCTAACATTGTCATACACACATTTTTTTATCCAAGATACTATTCCATACAGTTCTAACAAAAAGGAGATATTGTATACTTCAATTAGCACATCAGTCATGTAAGACGTTAAAAATTACATGGTTCTTTTTACAAGTGAATCTTTAAAATATGTATAACGTATAACGGAACCTGCCATTCTGTTGTTTGAAAAAAATTACCATGGAATAAGTTTTTTTATAATCAAATTAATATGTGCAAAGATTATACAATATAACCAACACAGATCTCTAAAAGGCAGTAGTTTATATCACTTAATTCAAATAAATCACTTAGTTTCAAATATAAAATGATCAACTGTGGTAACCACAAAATTGGACATTTATTTACAAATTAACGACTAGTTTCGGCCGACAATCATGGTCTAACATACAATTAAATTTAAATACGCCTGAGTTAACACATCAATAACAGGATCTTCTAATTATTAAGAAGACCAAGCTCACATATTGCAAAGTTTAAAAATGTGCCGTGTCTAAATTTAAGAGATGGCAATTTCATTCTTTTATGTAAGTATTATCACTTCAATTTGATCAATGATTATATCGAGAAATCTGAGTTTTCACCAACTATAATTGGTCCTTCAAAAAGGCTCTTACTTTCACATATTGAACTGTAGGAATTCACTCATGTTGTTATTATTTACAATGCTTCTGTGTTGGGTATCCTTAAGAATTGGAAATTGCTGTTAATGAACAGTATTTAAAGGTTCGTTTAGTCAGCCTCATTTAGTTTATACAGAATTGTAATAATCAGAAATTTTAAAGAAATAACTTTTAAGAAAAAAAATTGTTATGTAAGATATTTCAAATATTATGTTTCCAAATAGGAAATTGCAAGATCTATCAAAATCAAGAAAAAAAAAATTGGGGTTACTATTTAAAAAAATTGTCAATGACGTAACTGCCCAAAAATGGAAGTGGGGGAAAATTGAATTCTATTTAAAAAAATTGCGCTTTGAGTAAACAAAATTGACCTGTCCGAGCATTTTTTCGAAAAACCAACTACTTCCATTATAATGAATTTATTCCTTTCATTTGAACCATACTGTATACAAAAAACCAGCGGGTATTACAGTGGTGACAAGACCTTTTTTTTGTAGTTGATTTTTTTTCTTTCTCGGAAATATGCAGATAAGAAAAGAAAAAGTCCAGATCCTAAAATTGCAGGTTAATTGAATTAAATATCAGTGGTGACAAATATTAAATGGTTACATGAATTAGGAGAGTTCCAAATATACAAAAAGTGAAAAAAAAACACAAATATATTGTATCTACCTAGTAGAAAAAAAAAATAATTCCAATATTGTTCAGGTTCACTTAAGTCGGTTACATACCAAGCAGCAAAAGCCTCATTCAAAAACGCTTTCCTTTCCTGAAATTCTATCCCCATCCTCCTTTTGTGTTAGTATAAATAGTTCCGACGGCAAAACGTCAAATTCTACTACCATGTCCCTCTACGCGGACGACACAGCGATATCAGCCACGAGAACACAGCCAGGACTCATATCAAGATATCTACAAGACGCAGCGGAAGACATAGAAGAATGGTGCATTAGATGGAAGATAAAGATCAACGCAGAGAAGACACAGGCTGTGCTGTTCAAGAAGAGAGATCACTCTCTAGGAGAAGAAGTAACGACAGGACATCCCATGGACCGACTCAGCCAGGTACCTAGGAGTAATCATGGCCAAAGAACTTACCTTCACAAAACACGTGGACATGGTAGTCAAGAAAACAAAACAAGCTAGATCAAGACTAAACTGCCTAATAGGACGTAAAAGTAAACTTTTATTACAGACAAAAATGAAACTCATACAGGCTGTCATTATTTCTATCCTCATGTACGCATCGACGGCATGGGGATACACACCTGTAGAACACGCAGAAAGAAGATCCAAAGCCAGCAGAACATCAGCTTAAGATGGGCCTCAAACGCATACAGATACACCCGAAATGACGTTATCAGGAGGGATCTAGAATCCAAAAGAGTCCTAGACCTCATACACAAGAAGGTCACAGACACCTTCGAAAAATTAAGAACTCACCCGAATATTGAGATAAGAGAACTCACAGAGTACGAAAGAGCGGATTATAGAAGACGCGCCAGACCACACAAGGTGCTGGACTATGGCGGCGAGTGACTGACCCTTGGGTGTAAAATTCAAGAGTCTCATAGATTTGAGATTTTTCTTTCAGCGTTCTCTTTCAGAATACCCGACAGAGCGCATCACGCGATTCAGACAAGGACTGAGCAACTGACGACTAACCACCTGGGGTTGAAGGTCCCTCCAGTCGCCAAGTAGGAGACTGGGGGAACTTTCACAGGTTGCGACTTTCACAGAACGGCACACACATGACAAACAAACGGACGACAAAACAGGGAAATGCCCTCAGCAAACCCTGTCTAAATGCTGACAATATGTCATCCTTCACAGCCCTTTAGAAGGAATGGCATACCAATCATATTTAACAGGATGGGAACCTTCTCGACTTGGCTCAATTACTGTGTGTGTGACGTCAAATTCGAGACGGTCGTAAAATAGGAAAAGGACTTTGTTCCCATTTTTTTATTCTTTCTGTTTCTATTTCTTTAATAACCTAGTTTCCGACGGCAAAACGTCAAATTCGAGACGGTCGTAAAATAGGAAAAGGCTTTGTTCCCAATTCTTTAGGTTTTTATTTCTTTAATAACCTAGTTTCCGGCGGCAAAACGTCAAATTCGAGACGGTCGTAAAATAGGAAAAGGACTTTGTTCCCATTTCTTTATTCTTTCTGTTTCTACTTCTTTAATAACCTAGTTTATTAACTAAATATTTATTTTCAAAATCCTTGTATAAAAACGAAATTGTAATTTTAAACATAACAGCAACAGGCTTCTCTTTTGTTACTTTTCTTTGCTTCATCTTCTCTAACAATTTTTTGATTTCTGATGTACTGGTTTTTGATTTTGGTAAATCTGATGTGGTATCACTGATAACAAAATCAGTTAATTCCGAAGTAATATTTTCATTAAGATCACTTCTTTTTTTTTCTTTGTGTTGCCAAAGTTTTTCGATTAATTTCTTTTTTGATTTCATTTTAATAGAAATTTCGTTGGCAGATACTGAAGTATCTAATGATGTCATGTCATTTTTCGATTTGTTAGACAGCCATAAAGGTCCAGCCCCTTCTTCGTCCTCAAAACTTATTAGATCTGAATAATTAAATTCATCCAGAACTTTTGATACAATGTTCATGCAAGATTCTTGAATTTTTCTTTGGTTTTCCATATTCGGATCCAAGCAATATGGTTCGTCATTACACATTTTTGAAAAAAGGTTCACGCATATTTATCCGTGACGAATCACGCATTGGTAGGATAAATTAATTTTTGGTAGAAAACCCTAGTGCATTAAACTGCTCAAACAGACTTGATAGACATCTAAGTTAGACCTATAAGTAAGTACCCTTTCAGATTATGTAATTTCTCTTCGAAACCAATACAGGGTTAAAGTCTAGTTTCA